ATTCACTAAATATCACTGAAACAGATAGCACTAATTAAACTCACAACAAAATATCTTGGTTATGATTGAGATTTTAATTAATAATCAATCGACCAGAGATAAATTAGAACTCAGTGGAAGGTTTACTAGTCTTAAACTATCAGGTTGAAGGCTCAATTCCTTGCTTATATTTCACAATGATAAAGACTTGAGGATCAGATGGATGGTTTTAGTAATGCTTTGTTCTCTAAGCCAGATTATTTAATCAAGAAATTTATTGTCATTAAGGGAGATATCATCAGCGTGCTTACTCCTAAATGAAACAGGTAGATTTTAAGTATTTCTTGATTTTCAATGATTGTTCATTTTAAAGTAGCTCGTGATGTGAACTACAAATCGGACAACTTTCAGAGACCTCTAATACTAAAGAAATGTTAAATCAAATTATTCTTGCCATCAATCAAACGCTTTCTATTTACTCTGGTATATATTAATAACAACTTATCCACAATTATAAACACGATTGCTAGTTAAATATAATGTAGTGAACGAGAACACAAGTGGGGACAATAGAATGTATTTGAACACAGAATTACAGAACATCTTACTAAAATCTGAGAATCATACAGTGAATACTTAATTTGCAAAGTGTCTATCAATTGTCTCAAACTTGACTGTTCCTTTTACAAACATCAGTTAATCGTATCAGACTTTATTGTTCCTGAATTTTCATACCAATTGCTTTCTGTCCCCCTTCTTTCCTTCTCGACCTTCTGCTGCCAGACATTCTAATCCTGACCATCGTTATATAACACTCATGTCGATGAAAGTAGCACACACCATAATAAGAGGGACAAGTTTTTATAACACTTTTATCAATGGTAAAAGGTAGCGTATGTCGTTTAAGTTTTGCCATGAGTAACTCTAATAATTAATGCCTTATCGTTAACTATCAGTTGCCATTTACAAGATTCTAAACATATTAGCAAAAATAATGGTTTGAAATATAATAAAATTGCTTATATATATCATGATCAACTGTGTTCAAATACTTTGGCATTGGTTCAACGATTAGGCAATGGACATCGTATGTTAAATTAAATCAAACTAACGGTTATTAAAGATCTTTAAATGTTATTTGAAAAAATATAACATGTATTATGATCAGACTACGTGGGGTCACCTGCATTATTTGTGATGTTTTATAGTTGTGCTTTGTCTATTTTCAAACATCACAACTTTTAGTGAGTGAGTGCAAGTCTAAAAATACCCATCATTCCCAAACAGCTTAAATGGAACATTGAAGTACGTCACCCGAAGCTCGCTGAAGCCCAGAAAGCTATAGCTAATCTAAAACAACGAAGAAAAGCTGATCCAAATGTCTTTAAAGATGGTGGTCCAGTTTTAGCGATTAGGTGGACTAATATGTTAGCTAAGATCTGGGAGTTGGACGTGATCTCATCCGACTGGTCACAATATTTAAGAAAGGGTCGAAATCGTCCTGTGATAACCATAGAGGGATTAGTTCGACTAATATAGCATCTAAAATACTAGCCTAAATAACCATCGGTCGCCTGATAAAGACTCGTGAACTGCAAACACGAGAAAATCAAGCTGGCTTCAGACCTGTTCGTGGCTGAATAGACAACGTATTCACCGTTCGTCAGGTTCTAGAACACAGGAATGCTTATTGGCGTCCGACAATGGTGGTCTTTCTTGACTTAAAAGCAGCGTTTGAGTCCGTAGACCGCGAGATCCTGTGGCAGTGTCTGTCATTGAAAGGCGTACCTCAGAAGTACATAAACCTTGTAAAGTCTCTTTACTCAAACACCACTAGTCGAATCAGAGCTTATGGCGAACTGTCATCTAATTTTGCAACCTCAAGTGATATCCATCAAGGCTGTCCACTTTCCCTATTTTTGTTCAAATTCATAGACCTACTGATGGGAATAACGCTCTCATCGATTGAATTTTCTGGCATTGATCTCCCACCAGGAGGTCTACTTATCGACTTAGAATACGCAGATGATATAGTCCTGTTTGGCGAAGACACTGATAAAATGCAGTCTTTTGATAACACTGAGCAACAATGCCAGGATGTTTGGGATGCGTTTCTCCCCCTCTAAATGCCAGTTGTTGCTTCAGGACTGGCCTGCGTCAACACCTGAACTAAGGATAGGGAGTGAAGTAGTCGACAAATTCGATCACAATGGCGTCGGTGTATACACTCCTTATCTTCTCTTAAGCTATGAGATTAAAATCGTCTCATATCTTTCTTTCTACAAACTAATTTTGTCATCCTGTACTATGTCCTTGTATGCAAATTTTCTTTATATATTACCACCACTGAATTAACTACTTCTAGGAATCCATGTTCATTTTGTTGTGCTAATGAGGTATGGTAACTTGGACCGATGCACAAATGTGCCCGGTCCTACGTTGTAGCTGACTGTAATTTCATTCCAACCATATAAATTCATCGGCAACTGTTTGTAATGAATAGATTATGGTTTGATTAATGTTTATTGAAAATTAATATACAGTATTCACCAAATAAACGCAATCATTCCCAGATGTTTCTGACTGAATAAACTAAGAAGTAGGTTTACTCAGTTTTCGGACAATAATAAGTTTCAAGGCTAAAATATTTACTTTGCCGAATTGAATGGCCAACTTATATCTCTGAAAATGTATAATCATCAATGTTAGGTAGATCCACTGAGGAAAACTTACAGTACATTGTTTCGAAAACACAACATTCACCATTTTATAAAAAATTCCGTGCCGGTGAGGTTTAATAGATAATGAGTGTTTATCACGTTTAAGACCCATAAAATGTAAAACTGCTTTCTGAACAATGTGATTTATCAAAAGATCAAATTATGGACTTCGTTAATGAACATTACCCAGATGTACTGGCTGAAAGTTAGGTAACTAGATGTGCAGCCAAGATATGATTTCTTGTGTTGAAAAGGTATATTTTAATTAATCCCTTGTTTAAAATGATCGTTCGTGCAAAACACTGGAAAAAGTTATTTTAATGTTCATACTATTTAAGTAGTAAAAATATATAAACCACAAATTAATCGAAGAAATAACTTTCGACTAACTCGCGGACTTAGACCAAACGTTTTTCAGCTGTCAGTTACAACGTGAGACCAGGCACGTATATGCTTCGGTCCAATCTGCCACACTTCAATTAGCACAACAAGATGAACACCGAATTCATAGAAGTAGTTACTTCAATGGTAGCAAGCACAAGACAAATTGGATGATTGTAAGTTAATTAAAATTTATTTATAGTCATTATTAATTTACATAGAGTAATTCAAGTCTTAAATCTTTGTTTGAAAAATAAATTGAAACAGGTTGTTGTGATACTGCATAATAATTAGGTCTTTTTCCAAACATGTGATCAATTATATAGACCAGTTAAATGCAATACAATTTTCAAGGGTAGAACGTTGGGTAATGCTAACAAAAACGAAATAATTAGTTGATATACTAGTTTTTGACACTAATTAATTGAGTTAAAGAGGCGAAAAACGTAAAATATATGACCATAGTTATTTTCTGAGTGCAATTTTAGACAAGTTGTGTTACACACAACGAAGATGAAGAGTGCATACAAGCATTTTACGGATACATGAGTTAGTGTGAACTCCTAAGGTAGATTTTTGGGAATTAGATAGGCACTTTCAAAAACTAGATTTACACCAATCCTTTGTCCAGTATCGACTAAACGTATAAGAATGAAGTCTCTTTTGCTTTGCCTTTGTTGAACCATTATCATGACACGAAAACGAATGAGTATCAGCGTTTTGAGTCAACATCTAACATTATATTTATGATGAACAGCTTTTACTCGCCAATAAAACTAACCAGTAACCTGCTAAATAGTTGACAATAGGCAGCGATAATTAAACGTTTTGTTTTTTTACTATTATTAATCAGATTCCCGAAAAACACTGTTTGGTAGATTAAGATTAATAAATGATAGACTAATACAACTAACCACAAACAGCGAGAACAGGAGAGTAAAAAAATGCAGACATATTGGATTCCCATGGAGTAATAAACTTTCTACCAAAAACTTCATTTCAGTAGTACATCAAAAACACTATCAAATAGAAGCCTTACCAAATCTAAATAAGGGCTGAGTAAATTGTAATGAAGGAAGGGATGTGCATGAAGTCACATCACTTAAGCCTACAAAACATCTAGGATTAACTCGGAATCCAAGAAATAGATATTGATCAAGAGAATTGAAGAGGGAACTCAAGCGCACTGTTGATTAGAGATGATACTCAGTCAGCTCACCTAATTTGTTCTTGAATAACTTGAAGCGTATAAAGATAGAGGGAACCAAAATAATGGTTTTATTCAACTTAAATTTAGACAAGTACATCGCGTGTTAATTACATCCAACGTTTTATATTTTGCTGTTACTCTTATTGGAATATCATGTTAAAGCAGGCAATAGCTTGGAGTTCAACAATCCTACTGAGATTCGCCCTGACATTTTCATTTGTGTGATAATGGGGCACAACAGCTTAAATCGATGTAAACAAGCGCCAGGTTCCACGTTGCGTACGACTGACTGACTGACCCTAACCATAAGAAAAGTGTACTGAATACAGTGACAACCCCTGAGAACTGTACAGATCTAATGGCCAAATTCGGCAACCAAATAGACTGATAGAGTTTCATACTTTCCGAACACCGTTTCACGAATGTTTATAATACGATAAATGGCGTTTTTATATTTCAACTCTCCCTTTAAAAAATGTCACTCATTGTTATTCTATACTGTTCCAAATGGAAGATTTATACAACCTCATCAAGTGTCACATTTGCAATAATGGAAGTATAAAGTAAGCAGCAACAATTTACAGAGCGAATATACTGACCACATGAAGTCGAATTGCTCCTAATTGTATGATGACACTTGGTAAATTGTAATTTAAAAATTACCGCGGGCAGGAATCTCTAAATCCATAAATGGTTTCAAAAGTGAAAAATTCAAGCACATAAGATTATATTTATATAAAAACAAGAGGATTTCAAAATCCCCTTGAGGATTATTCCTGTACAACGTTCTGAGATGTTATTGCTGGTAAAATCAATAATATCAGGATCTAGCCATACCAGTAAATGAAAATGTTGGTCGAATGCGTTTCGATAAAGCTTTATCTGTTTCCTGTTTACGTTTGGCTTGAATTTCCTGAATAAATATAAATTGTAAAAAGTCCAGAATAACATGAAAGTAATTTAGAAAAACAAACAGTCAGCCATCAAAAACTAACTGAGTATATTCTTTTACGACGGTTACTAGCATACGTATAAACCATTTATAATATGGTAAGCCAATCAGAAGTAGCCTAACGGGAAGGTCAATCGAAGACAATCAAAATTGACCTGAAGGACAAGTGCATTTCAATGGCTAAGAAATGGATTAATTTCCTTAGGAGTAGATTTATATATATACATATATATATATATGAATTTTATTTGCTAGTCCAATATACCTTCTCACTCAAAAAGTCAGAGGGTTAGCGCGTAGCACATCGAGTATTAGTATCAGATTTCAGACACAGCACGTAACAACAATTCACATTTATGCTAGGAAAAATCGAATGATATGATATTTGAGTATGAGTACTCGAGAAATAAAGGGTGAAAGATAAAACATCTATGCCCTACTTTTTACCGGTGATTACAACTTTGAGGAGTCGTAGCTATTATCAATTTTAACGGTAGGTAAAACCCAGCATCTGGAAATCATTCTTACCAAAATCCAAACCTTCGTTAGAATTTCTGTAAAATTAACATGTTGGAATGTAATTAGTCATTCTTATTTATTCATTTTTGCACATAAAACTGGATACCAAGATAAGAATGCTCCATACAAATATCGAGATGACATTGTGAAGGGTGAAAAAAAGGATAGGAAGGTAATAAAATCAAAGGGAAAAACGGAAAATGAGTGAACATAAGTGGAATATGATGAGGGATATCTTTCAGTTAACAATACAACCGAGGTAGATCCTTTCATTTTTGAGAAAAATAAAACTACAACAGGTTCACCAGTAACCAGTAGCTTTTGTTCTGAGTTATAAGTAGTTAGTTAAGTAAATGAACTGTATATTACCCCAGAAGATTATGGTCAGTAAGGAGAACTGAGATGTGTCAGATACTGCTTGTCGCTAACCATGAAACATTCCAACACCATATTCAACAATAACACGAAATGAGGTGGTGAGCACTAATTTGATATACAATTTTACCATGAAATTATATACATATGTGGATTGCTTACGCTTATCCAAACCCGTTATTTCGAGACGTATATTGGGTCTTGTCGAGGATATACGATCTTCAAGAACAACTTATGAGGAAGGAACACATTTTTGTCACATTACTTTAGGAACTTTCAATGAATTTTTATTATGATTTGTGTTTAGTGACAAGTATTTAGTTCATAAGTTCTAATTACTGTAACCGATGTATAGCAGATTGGCTTAAATGTCTTCTTAATTCTAGCGATGTCGTAACCAACAAAGCCTTAATTACGAAACAGCACTTCTCACTTAAGTTAGAGAGGATAAAAGTAATCTCATTCATTGTATTGAAATCGGTGTTGCGAAATATTAGCATAGCCCACGAACATATTAAAAACTGACTTTATTTTTACAGTAGATTGAGTAAGTTACTCTTAATTCATAATTCAAACCCAGATAATTTCCACAGAATCCATTAGATCATTTTCAAATGAAAAACATGGAAGGTTTCATTGGTCGATATTTACGAAACCACAGAGCAACAAATATAAGTGAAAAGGTAGTATTTTTGTCATGATCGCCTCAATCTTTATTTTCACAGATTGAAATCATGAGTCAGTTGAAGCTAGACCACCATTGAAAACCTGGAAGCACTGGACGGCCGTTTCGTCCTGATAATCAATCTTTATTCCCATAAATTATACTTATAACTATTCGGTAACATCCACTCTTATTTTATATTCCATCATTTGTCTATTCCCTTTTATTCGCTTACTGTGTAATCCTTTATTTTTCAACCCACAAAAGCTCGCCCATGGTGGAAATTCTGTCCTATATAAACGATCTCAAGTCACTGTGTTAAGACGCATGGGCAATCAGACATGGGTCAGAAGAAAAGCCGATGGCGATCCTATTATAATTTTCTTTTACTTTCTTCATATAAGAGGATAACTTCTTTAACTGAAAGAATCCTTTCCGGTTGTATTTTTCTTAACTGAACTGCTTCTCTAATCACTATTACCATTTTCTGTCCACTTCCACACACTAATTTCTATTTGTTTTCGTTGTCTTTTTATCATACTCATCTTTTATCAATCTCATTTTTGTGTGGCGCATGTATATTTTCGTGCTCGTTTGTGCCAATGTTCGTGTTATTTATTTATTTATTTATTTGAACACATAAATATTGGTACAAGAGAGCGCCAATATATATGCGCCACACAAAACAATGGGAATTCGAAGAGAAGTAGAAAGAGAAAAAAAAACTAAGGAACGCAAAAGAAAAAGAGAACAATGACGAAGAGATTGGAGTAAGGTAGTGTGGTAGTAACGACGGAACGAAAAGGTACAATCAGAAGAAATCTTTCAGGTAAAGGAGACACAACCACTTTTTACGAAGAAAGTAAAAGAAGGTTACAGCAGGATCGCCACTGGCTTCTATTCTGAGCCATATCTGATAACGTCTCTAGCCACTGTGTTGCACCATCTCTCAGACCCCAACCAGGGAGTCGTGAAGGACCAACACAAGCCAGTCCTTTGCAGCTTTCTTTCATGCCACGACACCATGTCATGCACTGACCACCTCTCCGCTTCTTCCAACCAGTCCCAGAGTCCGCAAATAATGCACGACGTGGAATTCTCTGGGACGACATTCGGAGAACATGTCCAAGCCACCGAAGTCGGTGTTTCAAGATGGTAACACCAATTGAGTTATCATCTCTGTGCCCGAACACACGATGCCGAACCTCTGCATTACTGACATGGTGTTGCCACTGAATGTCAGCAATCCTTCGGAGACAGCGATGATCGAACACAGAGAGTCGTCTAACGTCCTCAACTCGGAGAGGCCAGGTTTCACAAGCATAGAGCAAAACTGCTCTCACCGACGCGTTGTAGATCCGGCCTTTTACGGCCAGACTAACATCACGAAGGCGCCAAAGGTGGCCCAGATTGGCATAAGCCGCTCTGGCTTTCACTATTCGTGCATTGATCTCATCACTCACACCCCCACCAGCACTTATGCAGCTACCCAGATACACGAACTTCTCAACTACGTCTATCTGCTCACCGTCCAGGGTGAGTACAGGATTAGAATCCTGCCAGTCTTGTAGAAGTACTTTGCACTTCGAAGGTGCAAAGCACATACCATACCTACGGACACTGATTGCCAACTGATTAAGTGCGGATTGCATGCCTTGGGCATTATCGCACAGTAAGACAATATCGTCCGCATACTCAAGGTCGAGAAGTCTTTCTCCAGGCAACAGATCCACACCACCATTACTTACACCCATCAGAGCTGTTTCCAGAATGTCATCGATGGCAAAGTTGAAGAGGAATGGTGAGATTGGGCAACCCTGCCTAACCCCACTGCTCGAATGGAACAATGGAGAGAGGTGGTTGTATGCCCTCACTCTGCCTGAGGTGTTTTTATACAGGGCTTTTAGGATGTTAATAAACTTCTCAGGCACACCCTTCTTCAATAGACAATCCCAGAGAACAGTCCTATCCAACGAATCGAAGGCAGCCCTGATGTCAAGAAACACTACGATTGTTGGCCTTTGAAAAGTATGGCGGTGTTCTAACATTTGGCGGAGGGTGAAGATATGATCAATACATCCTCGACCAGAACGAAACCCAGCCTGCTCCTCGCGAGTCAATCTTTCTCGGGTTTTGAACAACCTACGAAGAATGACGGAAGCCAATAGCTTGGACGCAATCGGAAGTAAACTTATCCCCCGATAGTTGTTACAAGAACGACGTGAACCCTTTTTAAAGATAGGGACAACTATCGACTCATTCCATGACGTTGGTACACTCTCTAGTTCCCAAACCTTTGTAAACAACGTCGTCAATTCCTTAGTCAAAAAGTCACCACCATCTTTAAAAAGAGCCGGAGGTAAGTCATCTGGGCCAGGTGATTTGTAACGCTTCAAGAGTTGGAGTTCCTTGCGGACTTCCTCCTCATTTGGTGGATCAGTCGTCACCGGCCATGGAGGGCAGGACAGTCTGACCGATGTTGCCGGAGCAGCAGGCCAGTTGAACTGCCCTTCGAAAAATTCTGCCCATCGTCCAAGACGTCGATGGATGTTAGTGATTGGCATCCCATCATCCTCGCAGATTGTTTCACTCACACCAGACTTCTTGCTGCCAGTGGCTCGGATGAGCTGGAAGAGCTTCCGGTAGTTACCAGATGCAGCTGCTGCTTCCAGCTCATTAGCACGCATCGACCACCAGGCTTCTCGGTCCTTACGCAAGCTTTGCCCAATTTCCTTACATAGCATCCTTCGTTTATGGTCAAACTCACGGTCACCCGGAGTAGACCGACGGGCTTCAATGAGTTGTAAGGAACCTGCAGAAACCCAGTGCTTAAAAGCGGGACGTTTCGCAAACCCACAACTGACTGTTCCCGCCATTTTCATGGCGTCATGCAATTGCAACCAATGCTCATCTATACTTTTCGGTGGAGTGGTAGCTAGCCTAGAGGCTAGCTCAGTTCGATACTTACTTGCAACAGAAGTTGCAACCAGCTTGCTAACATCAATCCGTTGATGGCGTCCACTTCGTTGTCCACTGAAAAGTAAGGCAAGATTGGCGCAGACCAAGGCATGGTCAGAGTCCAGATAGGTACTCCAAAAGGAGCGGCAGTCTTGTACACAACCACGCCAGCGGTAGCTGATCGCGATGTGATCAATCTGAGTTCAGGCTTGAGATGCAGAGGGAGGACGCCAGGTGGCACATCGGCGATGACTGTGCCGAAAGTTAGTGCTAGCCAGAAACAGGTTGTGGTCTGTGCACAGTTGCAGTAGACGGTCCCCGTTATCTGTCCTACGACCAACGAGTCCCTATCGGCCACCTAAACGACTCTCTTCTGTGCCTAGACGCCCGACCTGAGCATTCAAGTCTCCGGCTAGTACTACAATATCTGTCGAACGCACTTTCTGGAGAAGAACTGATAACTGGTGGTAAAACTCATCCTTGATTGCATCCGGGCTGCAATCTGTCGGGGCATAGGCGGAGATGACGAAAAGACATCTTTTCTCACGCCGATTTCTTCTCACTTTGATGGAACTTTCTAATCTAACAGCGCATAACCGACTGTTAATGGGGATCCAATCGACTAGTGCTGCCTCAGCTCTAGCGCTTAGTGCGACACCAACGCCAGCAAGACCAGACGAAGATGCCACAGGGTCCCCGGATAAGCGCACGTAAAACAAGCTTTTCGAAGCGACAGATGGAGATCGAATTTGTAGTACTTCGCCAGAGTTTTGAATACGGGGCTCGGATAGACAACACACGTCGATATTAAGACTTTCCAAAGACATAGCCAGCCCTATCTGTTGTCCGACCTGCATAAATGTGCGAACGTTGAAGGCAGCCAGTTTGAATGGTGCACGTGGTTTCAGAAAATCTGCTTCAGTCCTCGTATTCGGTGGTAACATACAATTTTCAACCGGACAGTGACTCGAGAACGTTTAGATACAGTCGGATTTCCACCAAAGACGAGCCGCTGTATAGGTATAAAAGAGGGTGAATAATGTGGAAAATAATAATAATAATGATAATAATAACAATAATGACAATAATAGTAGTAATAATAATATTAGTATTAATAATGACAATAATTGTAATGATAATAATCTGAATCAATTGTTTGTTTTTCAAAGCGAGAAAGGTAATTTCCATAGGTATAAAGAGTTCATCATTTGTGTGTGGGCTGTGATACTGCCCGGGTGCCCAAACCGAAGCAGGTGGTTATCTTAGGGGGCCACTCCCCGAGCCTTTGACCTAAAGGTCTAACCCACAAGGCAGTGGAGCATCGTAAGGAGATGCAGTCCCATGGTAGCCGGTGACCAACGTTTGGTTCATACGCCATTCGTGTTGAAACAAATAATCTCTAATGATCCTCTCGCTAACTACAGAATAGGTGTGATTGACAGTTAGCTAAACTAAGATAGTATCGGGGATGCTAGATCCCCAGAAATCGCTCAGTAAGCGTCTTATTTTTGTAATTTTATTTTGGAATTTGAATTTCTCGTTTTCGCATCAAGAGCGCCCATTTTCACCCTCAGATTCTACTCCTCATTTGGAAGGACCCTAAATGTCATTGGCTTGTTGCCTTTTATAATACGCTATTTTGTGGCATTTCCTAACGACTTTTTTTATTATATATATATATATATATATATATATATATATATATATATATATATATATATATATATATATATATCAGTCAGTCAGTCAGTAACAACGTAGAACTTCGTACGTACGTACATCAGTTCGAGTTGCCACACCACCTTAGCACAGAGATGCAGTTGTCGATTCAAATCCTGTAGTGGTAGAGGTAATAAGAGTATAAGCAGTAATCGGGAAGATTAGGGTTTGGAGATGTTATTCAAGGAGTATAATCCAGTGAAATAAATTTGGAAAGAGGAAGAAAGGGACATGAAGAATTCAGAAGATTAGAATTTGGGAGAACACAGAGAGTGGATGCACCTGCGCCATTGCAAACGATTTTGAGCCATGTCATTCAGGGTCTCTAACCATCGGTTGCTATCATCTCGCGGTCCCCAACCAGGTAGTCTGCACATACCAACATGACTCAGTCCACTTGTCAGTGACTTCATGGACTTGTGCCATGTTTTGGTTTGGCCGCCCCTAGCTTTCTTCCAACCTACTCCTATACCACTGAACATAGCACATCGAGGCAGTCGGTCGTTGGACATACGTAACACGTGTCCCAGCCACCTCAACTGATGAAGTTTCACTACTTCATCAATTGATTTGCTGTCCTATATATATATATATATATATATATATATATATATATATATATATATATATATATATATATATATATATATATATATATATATATATATATATATACTTGAGTTGTGTGCTTGGTTCGTTCGTGTTTCTGCCGACCTTAGGTGACCTCGTAATCTCTTCAAACATAGTGGATAGCTTGGTGTTTTGAAGATAACTATGGAGTTGAGTGCTTAGGTCGAAAACATAGCCACACAAAAGGGTCACATGGGTGGCACCTACATATTAAAAATAATGTGATCATCTTTTACAGTCTTGGGCAGATCACAACCTATTTCTAAGAAGAACCAACCTCCAATAAAGTAGCCACCAACAAGCTATTTATCATCTGTATCTTTAACTATGAGTGGTCAGCCATTAGAAACAGTCAAGATGATCGAAAATCTACGTTGACGGTGGTGTAATAAAAGAGATCTATTATCGAACAGGGCTGTGTGATATATACCACCCTTAATCACTTTTGCTGCCTTCGCAATGTCGGTCTGAATGCGAAATATCGGATATACAACGCCATGTGGATAGTCCAATATTATAGCTGAAAAACCTGGTTTCGTTTGAAATAAATACTTCGTAAATTATTTTTTGGCTGTAGTTTGCCTGTTAACACTACAAAAGTATCCATGGTTTTAAACAAATAAATTTAAGTTCAACATTGACTCACCATAAGTTCTTCATGCTTTTCACGGAAGAAGGCTAGCGGATCATCGAACTCTCTGTAGTAATCTAGCACAAGGCGAACATCATCTACACTCCCCATTGCAATCACTGGAAAATTATGAATAATTAAGAACAGAGGAACATATGATAAGGCTAGTTGACGAGCATTTGAAAATGTAACAACCGGTAAACTAGAGCTGAAAGGAGCGGTAAATTTCACCAAGTTTCAGAACGAGATATTTAAATAGTTACTGACTACGATTAATTGATAGCGGTTGACTAGTCACCATGAGTTTGTCTTGTAACTTCAACCTGGAAATTAAGGAAGTCCCATTCCTAACCTTCCGATACCGATGGTTTTGTACACGAAAAACCAATGGGCGAAATTGAAATAGGATACATGCTACTAAAAATAGATACCAACATCCTATTCTGTACGGAAGTAAAACAAATATGGAGCATAGTTCTAGATGCGTCATGATTATGTATATTTTGGGGTTGCTAAAATGAGTGAATTTAACCTTGATTAACAGTTGAAAAGAAACGATACAATGTCGTCGACTTGATGGAACAAACGTATGATGAATTTACACTAGAGACACGACTAGTCAGCTGGATAGGATTTTTCTCAGTAAAACAACACACTTATAGGCAAAATACGGTTTTATATGGTTGGAGTCTATCGTAAAGAACTGCGCAGGAAAAGAACTGACCATCTTAATGGTGGCCCTGAATGCTAAGGTCTGTATGGACAACACGGGACATGAAAGTACAATAGGGCGATATGGACTAGCAGAAAGAAATGAGAATAGTGGGAAGCTAGCCAATCTATGTACTCTCATTAACATCGTTATAAGTGGAACCATTTTCTCGTGAGACTATAATTTATGGACGACCTTTGGGAACGTCCACCAATTTACTAGGGCTAAATGAGGGTTATAAAGCAGTTTGAAGAATAAGGACCATGATTTACAATTGATGGTTAAGATTAGGAATTAGATTTATGGTTTTCATCACGAACTGAAATCAGCTTAAATGCCGAAACGTTATTTAGATAAATGGGTGGAAAAAATTCGCGCCAAAAACCAAGACCAGTTATCCTAAATCTGTTTAGTTTGTCCATAAATTATAGTCTCCCCCAGCTACATGGGTTTCAACTGATAACACTACAAATCAATCATACCTGAATTAATAAAGACTCTAGAAGGTCCATGAAGGACTTGAGAACAAAGTGAGGAGTTGATATTGGTTCAGATCATCACTTGGTGGTTACTAAGTTGAAACCGAAGCTAAAGAGGCCATGGACAACTGGAAAGGCAGCATTAAAAGTGTCTATTACAACCTTACTACAACTATCCAACATACCTGGGTAGTACCATTGAAAAACAAGGGGGGTCTAATGCAGAGGTGAAGGCATGGATTGGCAAAGCAAGGGCACCATTCCTACAATTGAAGAACATATGGGACTCAAGACAGCTTAACCAAAACCAATGTGAATTTTCAATACTAACACTAAGACAGTTCTATTGTGGGGAGCTGAAACTTGGAGAACTACAATCATCATAAAAAGGTACAGGTAGTTAAGAATAGATATTGACACCAGATACTCCAGATTCATAGACCAGATACTATTAGCAACAACCTACTGTGGCAGAGAACAAACCAGCTTCCAGCTGAGGTGGAAATTAGAAAAAGGTGCTGAAGGTGAACAGGTCGTACCTTACGGAAATAATCAAACTGCATCACAAAGCTAGACCTAACTCGGAATCTTCGGAGAAAACATAAGAAATATAATCCAAAGCACACACTACGCCGGACACAGACATTTAAAGAATAGCACTTGGCAACTGGAAAGGAGAGCCCAGAACGTAGTTGGTTGAAAATCCCTGATTGGAGGGCGTGTGCCCCACGAGAGGTAACAGACGTAAGTAAGTATCCAAGACATAAGAAACTGGGGAATGTAAATTTTACTAGTTGCTTACTTATAAACGGAATCAAAGCCTGACTATTAACGTCAATGCTTCCTCATAATATCACAAAGTTACTGATGTTTCAAATCTCTATTTCGCTAAGGGCTGTACTTACTTCTTAGGAAGGCAGCTAAGTCTATCAATTCTCTGTCTGACTCATCGCCATCCCAACGTTTTATAATCAGTGAATTGCGTGGTTGCAACTGAGCTGCAGCAGGATCCCAGTCAACGAACACCACACGAGAGAGATCTCTATTAAGACATGACAGATCCTTGATGTGTTTTCCTCCTTTATAGCGGGTTGCTTCGCGAAACAGTCGAAAGTGAATAAACTGTCCTTGAGGATCCATCTGAGCCAAGACAGGACCTCCAATCTTCGAAACAGTGAAATTACTTATAAATAATACTGAAAAGATTTTGTCAGCGCGTATCCACGCAGTAAGCAGTTACAAACAAAAGCAAATGACTAATAGAAAATAATATATTTGTAATATTCCAATGAGTAGAATTTTTTAAATTTTCTGTTTCGTGACTCAGTATACGCCACTTCGTCAGGGAATAAATAAACAAGTTAAATCAACCCACGTTTAAATAGAACAAAGCAAGAATATTCGGCGCGATCAATTAAAAACAGGTCTGATCAAGTCAATATCATTGAGGTCAATGTGGTTTATGTGCTGCATGTTTGTTTATGTATGTTAAAGGATGAAAAAGTGCGAAATTTGTGGTACGAAAGGATAGAGTTGAATTTGTATGTACAATAACAGAACTCCAAAGAGTCTTAAAACAATACAGGATTAAAATATATCACAAAACAACGAACACCCTTCGAAATAGTTCAGTTCGCATAACAGAATTATGTCTACAAATTAGGATGTGTCGGTTGTGACACCTTTAACATTGTAGAGTCATCTCGTGAAATCTTGACTAGAGCCAAAGAACATCTTAGGTGCACAAGGGAAGCTCCAAATAATCCAAAAGAATTGAAAAGACTCAAAATTAGATCGATAGTAGCAGTTCACGCAATTTTCAATAACCATCAAGTCAATATTAAAAACATCAAAATAATACAAAAAAGGCTTTTCCAACTACAAAGAAAAGCGAGCAGCTGAAGCTTTACATTTATTACGTAATCATATTTTCCTCAATAGAAAAAAATGCCTCACTATCTATCCGACCAGGACCATCCATCCGAGCTATCGTGTCTGATTCTATTCACATCTTACACCACTATCGTATACACAAATTCAACCGTATCCTTTCATACCACAGATTTTGCAGTTCTTTCACTCTTTAACATAAATAAACAAACATGCAGCACATAGATCACCCTGACCGGAATGACATGACATTGACTTGATCAGACTTGTTTTTGATTGATCGCACCAAATATTCTCACCCCCCAAATGCCGAGTGTGGAGAGAGTCAGCATTCCCTCTCAAAATGCCTTTACATGGTCATCGGCTAACATGTGACTGCATCTCCTAACGTTGCTCTACTGTCTTGTGGATTAGACCTTCAGGTCAAGGGTTCGGCACCTGAGAAAACCACTTGCTCAGGTTTGGGCACCCGAGAAGTATTCCGGACCATACAAAAATAGAATGATCTGTGCGGCGGGTATACATTTGGTGCCTCCTTGTACCAATGTTTGTGTTTAAAAAATAAATAGATGGTAATAATAATAATGATAATACCAAGTGTTCTTACCTTCTATTTAAATTTGGATCAATTAAACTTATTTATTTATTCTCTGAAATGGCCTACACTGAGTAACGAAACATCAGAAAATCTAAAAATTTAATGTTTCTACTCATTGGAATATTACAAACATATTATTCTTAATAATAACAATCTACTCAATGCTCTATTTATTTGAAATTAGCAAGCAAACCTCGGTAATGACACCTATAAGATGTAAATGATGTAAGATTCAGCGAGACTACATTTACTGATCTAAATGAGTGAAGTCTAATTTCCAAAGTCCATCAAAATACTTCACGACTAGCAGTCGAGATAGATTGAGCTATATGAACACTGCAGGAATAAATCAAAACTTATGAACTGTAGTTGGTTCCACGTTGGTTGTACTAGTTTGAATACAATAGATGAAGTCTGGAAAATCCTGGGAGAACCGCAATGCAGAGCTTCACGAAATCCAAGCACTAATTTATTTTGCCATTATGGTGAAGAGATTACAACTTACGCCCCTTTTTCGGAAATATTTATTTAATCGGACGCTGTTTACATTTAACGAACAATCCATGAGTGCGAAACATCCCAAATACAAGTACACATCGCTTTGCCTTTCAGACTTGATAAGTCAGCCAGCTACAATGTACGACCAGGCACATATGTGCATCGGTCCAAGTTACCATACCTCATTAGCACAACAAAATGAACATGGATTCCTAGAAGTAGTTAATTCAGTGGTGGTAATATATAAAGAAAATTTGCATACAAGGACATAGTACAGGATGACAAAATTAGTTTGTAGAAAGAAAGATATGAGACGATTTTAATCTCATAGCTTAAGAGAAGATAAGGAGTGTATACACCGACGCCATTGTGATCGAATTTGTCGACTACTTCACTCCCTATCCTTAGTTCAGGTGTTGACGCAGGCCAGTCCTGAAGCAACAACTGGCATTTAGAGGGGGAGAAACGCATCCCAAACATCCTGGCATTGTTGCTCAGTGTTATCAAAAGACTGCATTTTATCAGTGTCTTCGCCAAACAGGACTATATCATCTGCGTATTCTAAGTCGATAAGTAGACCTCCTGGTGGGAGATCAATGCCAGAAAATTCAATCGATGAGAGCGTTATTCCCATCAGTAGGTCTATGAATTTGAACAAAAATAGGGAAAGTGGACAGCCTTGATGGATATCACTTGAGGTTGCAAAATTAGATGACAGTTCGCCATAAGCTCTGATTCGACTAGTGGTGTTTGAGTAAAGAGACTTTACAAGGTTTATGTACTTCTGAGGTACGCCTTTCAATGACAGACACTGCCACAGGATCTCGCGGTCTACGGACTCAAACGCTGCTTTTAAGTCAAGAAAGACCACCATTGTCGGACGCCAATAAGCATTCCTGTGTTCTAGAACCTGACGAACGGTGAATACGTTGTCTATTCAGCCACGAACAGGTCTGAAGCCAGCTTGATTTTCTCGTGTTTGCAGTTCACGAGTCTTTATCAGGCGACCGATGGTTATTTAGGCTAGTATTTTAGATGCTATATTAGTCGAACTAATCCCTCTATGGTTATCACAGGACGATTTCGACCCTTTCTTAAATATTGTGACCAGTCGGATGAGATCACGTCCAACTCCCAGATCTTAGCTAACATATTAGTCCACCTAATCGCTAAAACTGGACCACCATCTTTAAAGACATCTGGAGTCAATCCATCTGGACCAGCTGCTGATCCTCGTTTCAGATTAGCTATAGCTAGTCTGATAAGACCTAAAGATTAGGCTGCTACACACTAATAAGTACTTAACCACTTCTAAGGTTTTATCAACTCTTATATTCCCATCTGGGAAAATATTCATCTAAATTACCATGACCTGTTTTTACAGAAACCACCCATATGTTGGTTCTTTAGTAATTTTATTCATCCCGTCAGAAGATTCACTTTTATACAAGTCTCATCTAGCATGATAGGACTAGATTTACTCGCGATTTTCGGTGTCGTTAAAGACTGAACGCAAATTGGAAAGAACATACGTTAACGATATATATTGCAAGTTACTGATACCAACAATGCAAAAGGTGTACCTAATTATTCCTCCAAACTAAAATTTCCAAAAATGTTCAAACTTACCATTACTGATTCGTTTGTATAGACAACAACCTCATAGTGAGGAGATAGCTGTTGCAAAAACAAATCTAACGCTGCCCTTTTCTTAAAGCGCCAACCTGAGCGAAACTGTCATTTTTAAACCAATTTATAGATAATACACTACCTTCCAATCAGGATGAACAAGCACGTCGGTCATCTCCAGAACAAGAGTATATGGTGGTTGGTAATATGGAGGTTGTACTGGATCTGGAAGGAGTTTTTCACTAACAGGATCCTTTATGCTCTACAGACACTGAGTGTGTGCTCTGAATACTTACTTGATTGAATTCAAGCAGAGAACTGAAAGTCCGACAAAGGTATCCCCAGATAATTGGTTCTGCGAACTATTAAGTACGTATTTGTCGCTTACTTCGACTAAAATTGTCTTCAATCTAATCGGAATATTTAGGAATTACCCACTTACTTCAACTCCGTTATCATCCTTTTTCGGAGGACCTATTAAGCATGAATAACGCACTACCTATCTTACCCCAAGTAGCCACGGCAAACCCAACCGCAAACAAACTGGAACATCCCAAAGTAAAACAACCTATTTTCCATGCATTTTTCCCACTCCACCAAGACTGTTGAGACTTATCTTCCGATGAATCATTTGAGCCTAGGGAGTAATACGCACTGTACTGCTTGAAATAAGTCCATCTATCAAATCTGTTCAGGGCGAAACGTCGCGTCGCCGTTAAAATCATCACGTCCCTCACAGTTCGTTTACCCGCCAATTATTATTGTACTAGATCCAAACCGAATTACACAGTGATGGCAAGCTAATTGTCCACTGACATCTTTGACTAGTTTTTATGTGTGCTTCTGTGGTGTTTGAACTAATTATTCATTATTTTGTACTTGTTGAATTGACTCCGCGCGCTATTTAAAAAGGACAGTGGTATTCTTTCTCGTTGAGTTAATTAACTGTTTTGATCGTAAATTACACATCAAAACTACTGTTTACACTTTAATTGCATCTACCCCAGTTAAAGTGATATTTTATTGAGTTTTTCGATTTTGCTTCTGTGTATTTATTGCATCGAAGCATACTTGGTCGACTTTTACTTGGTTTATTTAGTTAAGGTTTGAAAATCCTTCTACATATCCTGTTTTCGTCACCGTTCTAGTTGATTTTCAAGATGGCTAGGTCTACTCATAAATGTGGACAACCATACTGCTTATTTCCCGTGGATGAAGGGATGCAATGTGATGAGTGTAATAAGTGGTTCCATAAGATGTGCACCCGATTAAGCCCCACTGCATATAAAAGGTGTTCAAAGCCCAACTCTCATTGGCTTTGTAGTTTTTGTTGCTCGAGCAAAACATTGCTTATCCAGGAAGCAATTAGTCTCCTGGTGTTGGCTAATAAGAAGGTTGATGAGGGCTGTACTGATAACATTGGTACGGATGGCGAAGATTGCGTTAGTGTCGTAAGTGCTATCACGGCGCAAGCCAGACATCTACCTGTGCAACCCACAGTTAAACGTTCTCCCCCGAAACGATCAGTGAGTGACACGTCATTAGACGTTGGTGGCCATGTTGCTACAGCAGCAACCGGTGACCCAGATAAAACAATTACTGTCCCGAGTTGTTCTAATGTAGACGTTTCGACTGATGGAAAATGAATGACGCGAAAACGCAGAAGAGTAGGAAAGATAGCTAAAACTAATGACTGTTTACTTGGTAAGTCCTTGGTGGACTCTCAGACCAATCCGCCAAAGTCTCATAGTAAAGCTTCGTCTGACATTGTTGTCAGTCATTCGCTTGACTAATCGTAAGATACCATTAGTTAAAATACAGGATCTAACGTCACGGTCGAAAGCTGTGAACACAGTTTCAAAAGAAGCTAAACCCATCCCTAGTTTAATTATTTGGAATCTAGAGGAGTCGAAAGACAACGACCCTGCTAAAAGACACGCACATGACCTGCGGTTAGTGGAGTCTGTGGTAAGAAATGTACTACCTGAAAAGGTTTCAGGGGTACATATTACAAAAGTAATACGACTTGGTAAATGGGTTGGAGGCGAGACCCAACCAAGAAGGATCCTGAAGCTGGTTCTCGGGAGTTTCGAAGAAAGAGACATATTATTGAAAAGCGCACTAAAAACTCGTGCCTCAAATATCCGTATTCGACCAGATTGGTCGCTTGAGGATCGAATCAAGTGGAAGAATGCTCTTACGGAGTTGAGGACTCGCAAATTAAATGGCGAAAATAACCTTACCATTAAGGGTTTTTGGGTAGTCAGGTCTTGGAAGCCAATGCCACACCGAGATATCAACCATTGAATCTGTACAGGTGACTGAGGAAACTGTCCTTCCATTGATAACTAACCTCAAACCTGGTAAGATACCGGGCCCTGACGGGTTACATCCACGGTTGCTGTCATCTCTTGCGGACATTATTTCGAAACCGCTTGCGACACTCTTCAACATGTCCCTCTCACTCGCTCAACTCCCTAGAGATTGAAAGGACGCTATAGTTAGTCCTATATTCAAGGACGGTCAGCGACAGATAGTATCTAACTGCCGGCCTGTCAGTCTAACTAGCATAGTAGTTAGGTTACTCGAAAAGATAATTCGGGTTAGGTTGCTAAGCCACATAGATTTACACAATCGGTTAGCTCCTGAGCAACACGGATTTCGTAACAAGCGTTCACGCTTGACTAACTTGCTTATTGCGAGGGAGGATTGGACAGCAGCCCTAGATCACGGTCTGTCTGTCGACGTGATATTCATAGATTTTAGCAAAGCGTTTGACAAGGTTTCACACGTAGGTCTTATGCAGAAGCTCACGAGCTTCGGAATAATAGGTACTGTACATGAGTGGATAGGAAATTTCTTATGTGACCGCAGACAGAGAGTGAGGGTCAACGGAACGCTATCCGATTGGAAGCCGGTCAAAAGCGGTGTACCCCAAGGCACCATCTTAGGCCCTCTGCTCTTCCTTCTCTACGTTAATGAGTTACCGCTGTTACTTAGGTCGTCGACATTATTGTTTGCAGATGATGTAAAAATCTGGAGAACAATAAAAAGTGCGGCTGATCATGTGGATCTTCAAGCTGATTTAGACGATTTAGTTAGATGGGCTCGAGAGTGGGGCTTAGAAATTAATGCTAGGAAGAGTGTACTAATGTACGTCGGTCACGGTAATAGTTACCGTTACACTATTGAGGGTAAACCTCTTCCATGCGTTCAAGAGCATAAGGACTTAGGAGTAATATTAAGTCATGACTTAAAAACAACTGCGCATTGCAAAGCAGCCACTGTCAAAGGTTTTCGTGCGTTATGGTCACTTCGCCGAGCGTTCAAATCTTTTGACGAGGAAACGTCTCGAATTTTATACCCCATATATGTTAGACCACATTTAGAGTACTGTATCCAAGCAGCTAGCCCGTGTCTAGTAAAGGATACTAACTCCCTTGAGCGTGTCCAGCGTGTGGGAACGAAATTAGTGAAGGGTCTTTCAAGTCTCCCTTACGATGAGCGCTTAAAACGCCTAAATCTTTTCCCCTTGTCGTATCGTAGGACACGAGGTGACCTTATACTGGCATTTCGTATCTTTAATTATGATTTGAGTGTTAATATGTCTTATCTTTTTGCTCCCTCCAGCACTAATAATCTCCGAGGTCATAGCAAGAAGGTTCATAAACCACGATCTAATAAACTTAAAGTGGGATCCCGTTTTTCCCATCGAGTAGTCAATCATTGGAACGCCTTACCCGAACAAGTGGTATCAGCCCCATCAGTGAATACTTTCAAGGAAAAGCTGGACCTTCACTGGAAAGCAATGTGTCAGGATTAACACAGGTTCATCAACCTACTATCCTTATTACTGAAGACTGAAGACTGACTTCGAATTCTAAATACAATTGTGGAGATATGTTCGTGCTTGTGTCATACTTCTTGATTCAATTGCGTTAATTCTGGGATTCTTAGTTCATACGATAATTCAAACACTTACAAATATTATAGGTTCTTCCGCGTAAAATGGAGCAGTTCTTATTCCTAGTGGTTCTTAAGTAGTCGGAAAACGAAATATTGATTGACAGGCTTGTAATATCCATGATATACCCGTTGGAACTACTGAATCTAAAGCAAACTTCAGCCTGCCTTCAAAGGAATCGTTGTATGAATGAGATCGATTGCAGTTCATTTTTTTATTCACAAACTTCCTTCTGCGACTACAAGGATGTTTCAGGGTCTTGTGGACAATAGAAACTGCAGCAAAATGTTCAAACAATAATTAGGGCTTGACAGTAAGCAGGTAAGTAATTACTGTTGTCTGCCAGTCTGCAATTTCAACCCGCTCACATAAGCTCTGATCTCTCGTAAAAAATCAGCTGTCCAAAGGTACATCAACTACAGGACTAGAATACTTCCCAGGTAGTGGCAAGCGAGTACTGTACATTAATTTTTTGTAATCCTGAGTCTTATTTTATGATACTCTGTAGAATAAATATAATTATACGGGACATTAGACTGATTATCTGACAGCCAGATCACTGAATACCGAACAGTTCACAGACCCTTGTCAAGGTCAACGTCATAGACCGGCCCGTGATATAAAGGTCTCACTCTGTTCCTCGTGCCTGCTCTTACTAATATACTTCTTTAATAACGTCGTTTGTGTTGTATGGTCATAAAAGTATTTATATTACTAAAGGGCAATCTATGTTAGGTACTAACCATGAGATGTGACTTTGACGTTAGCTAGTTGGTCACGCCATTGCCGTCTAACTTGAGGAGGCCCCCAAATCTTTAGACACAGGTCTTTAGTTGGGATCTTTATTTTGTCGTCACTTAGATCGGACGATGTTGTCGATGGGCTCTCTACATTAGTGGCCTAAGGTCTGATTCCAAGTAGATCGTATGACGGATTGTTATTGAAATATATATGTCGCCTCTTCTCGTATATTTAATCGAATCAAATCGCGTTAGTCAATAAGGGAATTTAATAACTAAAATAACGAAAATGGACTTCTGAATACATATACTTTGTATATGAAGCGAGTGAAATAGAACGAAGCGAAAAGACGCGCAGTGGAGAATGCATGTGAGTCAACTCCATTTAGTCAGGCGTTAATCAATATATATAGTCACGCAAAAATAAGTTACAGACATATGATGAATATGATAAGAAATGTACACACACATATGCGCTCATATAAAAACATTCATGATTGATGAGTGAATAATTTACAAGGTCAAAATGTGACTCTAGTGGAATGAATAGATTGGCCTGTCCGAAAGCTAGAATAAGGTATATGGGCCTAATATAATAACCGACACTAAAGATCGTCTAAGTTGGCGATTCGCAACTGCATCCAGAAGCTGTCGATCAGAAGTTTTTTCATTTAATCGTTTAGAGTAGCCATTAGTACAGCTTCCAGGTTTTGCCAAAGTCGTCACGAGAAGGTTGCATGCTGACTATTTAGTTCGTATATACTTGGATAAGGTAACTATTAGCACACTAATAAAGCGCGCTCTTTATGAACGAGACGTTTAGTCCTAACGTGATTTCCATTTCTCAAACATTTGTCGTGTTCTTACGCAACAAAAGTGCCACTTCTGATTGAAAGAATCTGTTGTGAGCTATTCGTTCAATAGACTACTTTTCTTTTTCAGTTTTACCCAATTTAATAGTTAACTGTGGTTTTGCCCCAGCTTACTACTTGGTTTTTTGATTTTTCACGTCAAGGTTAGTTTCAATTTGTCCTAACCGTTTTTATCACCTGTTAATATCCATTTTTACCTGT